TTTAATCACAGTTCGTCCTTTAATTGTACTTTGCCCTTGTTTTATCGCAATGACTTACTGATGTTCTTTCTTAGTTTTATTTTCATCAAAATCATTTAAAAGCTTAAAAAAAACTGTTTTTATCGATGATCTGCAGCGTTAACAATGTTATTCCTAATATGTTTCTTTGACAGCAGTCCACTTCATACACAAAAGGATTTTTAACCAGATATAGCATTTCTAAGGTAATCATATCTGATAATATGTTCATGTCAGTTACCATGAAGAACAACATGCAGTAATAAAGAAATAAATGGATCAGTAAATAGATAGACAAATAAGAATGTCAGTTGGCCAACAGCAACTAACAACTTTGTCTGAAACAGACTCGTAGTGGATGTCTCCACTTGAAATAAAAATAAATTAATTAATTAAAATCCTGATAGTTGTGGTTAGCTTAGCGTTTACTAGAATCAGAATCAGAATCAAGCTTTATTGGTCAGGTTTGCTTACACATACAAGGAATTTGGTTTTGGTGACAGGAGCTCACAGTGCACAGTATCAAACATTTACATGTAAATAAAATAAAGTAAAATAAAACACGCATTCTAACCATCACTCACTCATACACACACACACACACACACACACACACACACACACACACACACAGTCATACCTGTAAACCTTACAATGTTCAAAGTATGGCTCTTATATTAAAGTGCTGAGTGCAGCAGCAGTTAAAGGGTGTATAGTGGCAAAGAAAGGGATCAGTGAGATAACAGTCAAGATAAATGGGGTAATAAGGCAGGTGAGTGGGGTAACAGTCAGATAAGTGGGGTAATAAGGCAGGTAAGTTAAGTAACAGTCAAGATAAGTGGGGTAATAAGGCAGGTAAGTGGGGTAACAGTCAAGATAAGTGGGGTAATAAGGCAGGTAAGTGAGATAACAGTCAGATCAGCGGGGTAATCAGGCAGGTAAGTAAGGTAACAGTCAGATAAGTGGGGTAATAAGGCAGGTAAGTGGGGTAATAAGGCAGGTAAGTGAGGTAAGAGTCAGATCAGTGGGGTAATAAGGCAGGTAAGTTAAGTAACAGTCAGATAAGTGGGGTAATAAGGCAGGTAAGTTAAGTAACAGTCAGATAAGTGGGGTAATAAGGCAGGTAAGTGAGGTAAGAGTCAGATCAGAGGGGTAATCAGGCAGGTAAGTGAGGTAAGAGTCAGATCAGTGGGGTAATCAGGCAGGTAAATGAGGTAACAGTCAGATCAGTGGGGTAATCAGGCAGGTAAGTGAGGTAACAGTCAGATAAGTGGGGTAATAAGGCAGGTAAGTTAAGTAACAGTCAGATCAGTGGGGTAATCAGGCAGGTAAGTGAGGTAAGAGTCAGATCAGTGGGGTAATCAGGCAGGTAAGTGAGGTAACAGTCAGATCAGTGGGGTAATCAGGCAGGTAAGTGAGGTAAGAGTCAGATCAGTGGGGTAATAAGGCAGGTAAGTGAGGTAACAGTCAATATAAGTGGGGTAATAAGGCAGGTAAGTGAGGTAACAGTCAGATAAGTGGGGTAATAAGGCAGGTAAGTGAGGTAACAGTCAATATAAGTGGGGTAATAAGGCAGGTAAGTGAGGTAACAGTCAGATAAGTGGGGTAATAAGGCAGGTAAGTTAAGTAACAGTCAGATCAGTGGGGTAATCAGGCAGGTAAGTGAGGTAAGAGTCAGATCAGTGGGGTAATCAGGCAGGTAAGTGAGGTAACAGTCAGATCAGTGGGGTAATCAGGCAGGTAAGTGAGGTAAGAGTCAGATCAGTGGGGTAATAAGGCAGGTAAGTGAGGTAACAGTCAATATAAGTGGGGTAATAAGGCAGGTAAGTGAGGTAACAGTCAGATCAGTGGGGTAATAAGGCAGGTAAGTGAGGTAACAGTCAATATAAGTGGGGTAATAAGGCAGGTAAGTGAGGTAACAGTCAGATAAGTGGGGTAATAAGGCAGGTAAGTGAGGTAACAGTCAGATAAGTGGGGTAATAAGGCAGGTAAGTGAGGTAACAGTCAATATAAGTGGGGTAATAAGGCAGGTAAGTGGGGTAACAGTCAGATAAGTGGGGTAATAAGGCAGGTAAGTGAGGCAACAGTCAATATAAGTGGGGTAATAAGGCAGGTAAGTGAGGTAACAGTCAGATCAGTGGGGTAATCAGGCAGGTAAGTGAGGTAACAGTCAGATCAGTGGGGTAATAAGGCAGGTAAGTGGGGTAACAGTCAGATTAGTGGGGTAATAAGGCAGGTAAGTGAGGTAAGAGTCAGATCAGATAGAATAAACACTGTTCTGAGACGGTAGTTTCAGAGGATGAGTTGAGCGTGATACTATATACCAGTATATTTAGAAGTGCAGTTTAAAGGCTGGAATATTTTTATGTGTAGTATTTTAACTGTTCAAGAGAGCGATGGCTTGTAAGAAGAAGCTCCTCTGTAGCCTGGATGTCCTGATCCTCATCTGGCTAAAGCGCCGGCCTGAGGGAAGGAGCTGAAACAGGTGGCGTCCGGGGCGTCCGGGGTACTAGATATCAAATGGTCTGCACCTCTGTGGGCAGAGTGACTGAGACTGAGACCTGCAAACCTTTAACAGCTTATGTTGGCATATTGACAGACACAGAGTCAGCAAAACTGCTGACATGTCAGAAATCCATCCGGTCGTCTGATTACTCGATCAGAGCTGACATTCTGCCTGATCATGACATTCAGTCGACTATGGCCACATCAGGCTTAAAAATGGTTCAAAATTGTATGGTGTACACCTGACTGAATGACTGGCATCAGACTAACTACCTGTACGGTCCTTTGTGTAGCCATGCTGTGCTGCAAACGTCCACTGTATCACCTGGGCTGGGTTGCTCTGGTTTTGCGCAAGTTTGTACTTAAGTTTGTGTGTAAAGTCTTCTCTAAGGCCTTTGTTAGCCATAGTTGTTTCAAACTACTAAATGTACAAAGTTTGGTTTCACCATAAATGGTGGGCAATAATAAATAATTGTCTTATACCCCTCTTTGAAAGGATGTGATGCCCTAAATGTAACTAAAGCCCAGCAGTGAGGAGCTGAACTTTACCCTCCTCTGCTATCACTGAAGACGGGCCGGGTCGCCTACAGAGCAGCGCTAGTAGCTGTTAATGAAGCAATTTTTTTTTATTTTTTTTTTATAAATTTGAGGGTTGTCCCATTTCATAGGGCAAGATTTCAATAAGTACCCCTTGAACTCAGTTCGAACGGGGCAAGATGACACCTAAAAACAAGTGGCAGGGGTAAAAATAAGAAATAGGACTGGGCCCAAGTTAATTAAATTAAAACAAGTGTGAATCCTTGTTTCCCCAAATTGTAATGTTTAAGCAGAGTATAAGACAAAACTCCACTTATAATCGCATTTCCCACTCAGAGTCCAGTTCACTTGTTTTTCCTTCCTTCCTTTCTTTGATTATGCTTTGTAAATTCGTTTAGTAAATAATTTTAATCCAGCTCAGCGTCAGCAACAGCAGTTTCAAAAAAAGAATTTTATATCAGGCCTAGTCATTATTATTTTCTCTTTCAGTTGTTTGTAATATTTGTCTTAACTCAGTTCCAAGGGGTTAGGGTGACACTCGAAAACAAGGGGTAGGGGTAAAAAGAGGAAATGGGATTGGGCCTAAGAGTTTCAGTTAATGCTTATTTGTGAAACTGGTGACAGAGATTAAACATTATTATGGCTCGTACAAGATGCGGATAGCAGTCATTCCGAATGTGCGCTGCTAATAAAGAATTCAAGTTGTAAGTTTATAAATATGTGAGGTAAAATATGGTGTGTCTCCCCGTCGGGGAATCGAACCCCGGTCTTCCGCGTGACAGGCGGAGATACTGTCCACTATACTAACGAGGAGGAGGTGCTCAGATATGCGACAGTGCGGGTGTTAAACTATACATCCAGGTGCTGTTCACAGTCTTCACTTACACACATTATTTACAGTACAAAATGGGCAGATCCGACACGATAACTACGATAAAGGGGTACTAATAACCCTGAATCTGACATGTTCTCTATGTCTACCACTGAACGGTGCGCAGTGCAGTACCTTCAACACACCTTTCCACGTGCAACTCGTCGTAGCTTTTCTATTCCTCAGCAGTGTAGAGAGCTATACATTCATATCTTACTGACACTGTTTACTTATTCACGTTATTCCAAGTGCTGACTGGACTAATAACTGAGAAAATACGTTAAAAAAATAATTATAACAACAAATCCTAAGTCTGATAGCGTGTGTTCTCTTTATCTGCCACTAGATGGCGTTTATTGTAGTTAGTGTCCTTAATACTTTTCCCAAATGTAAAACCAGAGATCTTGTAGAGTGGAGAATTTCCACTCTCTGCGATGTCGTCCGGTTTTCTCAGACGCTAGAGGGCGCTCCCGAGCGAGTCCAAAATGAATGGGTTGATATGGAGCATTTGAGCAAAATCATGGTTTATAAATGCTGAAGCATTTTTAATGTAAAAGAATGCGATCATTTCCTGAACATAGAGCAGCATAAAACATTTTAACACTGCTGTTATATTTTTAAGAGCTTTTAAACTCGAGTTATAGGAGTTTAAAACGGCGCCTCATGTATGTCCATGACGTCAGTGAGCGGGAACAGCCAATGAGTTGCTCCGCTCGCCAATCAATCATCATGCTCTAGCAGTAAAGCCCGCCTCCTGCTGCCCTAAACCGGTTTGCTGTAGAAAAAAGGAAATTTACAGGTAAGATTTCTTTGTTTTTTTAGTGAAATACATCCTCCTACTTTCTAAAATTAAAGGAACGTTCTGGGCGAGTAATTAGAAACTATTTTAACTTTACGTTTTTAGGGGTTGAGCCATTCACTCCAATTCATCGAGGACTCTCTCGCGGGCGCCCTCTGCTGTTCAGAAGTCCTATTTTCACCCCAACATAGAATATAAGAAGTGCTAAACCTCTTCATAATGATGTTCTTAACATACACCAAAGTTTTTCTATTTTTCACCAAAGTAGGAAGCCCCGCACTTAAGCAGGGCATCAAAAAATTAGTTGATACTCATGATGTTCCTCCCCACGGAAATCTTTAGTAAAAGGCGAAAGATTTATACGATCTGAAGAGAAACAAGAGTGAACTGAAGCTCAGCGCCAGCGGCTCAGCGCCTCACTGACAGCAGCACAGCTCACAGTGACGGCGGACTCACAGTGAACACCACCAACACACAACGGTTCACCTCAAATACCGTAATAACCACCCCACAGTCATTAATTACATTTGGTAAATGATGGAAACATTTATAAAGGTCATATAACATCAAATTGTTACACGCATTGCATTATGGGAAAATCTCCTCTTCCTGGTTTGCCCACGTGGTTGTTCCAGCAGCAGCAGCAGTAACATAGATAAGCCCCCTCTGCAAAAAGATCAGCAGTTCAATAACACATTATGCATTTCAAACACAGAGCATAGTTTGTCCTTTAATCGTACTACAGCAGAGTGATTAAGCGCGCTGGGAAAACTGCAGCTGTAATTATCCCTTAGTTAAATGCTTATTAACAGTCTGCATGCTGGTCTGGTCAGTTCAGTGTGTTACATGACTCACCAAGACAAAGCCTTTATATGTGTAACACACCAGGCGAAATAAAGTGATTCTGATTTTCTAAATGGCCGTTTGTTATAAACATTGGGCTTGCACACAAGGCTGGGCTGAGACCCTTAAAAGGGGCTCAAAATTGTGGATCAAAATGATAAAACACTAATTATTGCATGACTTTCCAACTCTAGCAACAAGCAGTACTCAAAAAGACCAGAAGAAGGAATCTTACATCACACCATATTACATGATTATCTGGCCTTTTATGAAAATAGTGTTATTATAATTATTTCAAGAGTCAGTTCGGTTAACCTTGTAACATAAACAACATTACTGTCAAATACAAATATCACAATATCTTGACAGTTAACAGTGACTGAAGCTTTTTACACTGAATTACTTTCACAGGAACAATGTAATTCTGCTTAACCTCTTAGGCACCAGGGTATATTTTGGTTTGTCTATCTGAATTTACTTCACCAAATCGTAGGGCAAATTAATCAGTAACTGCATGAAATAAATGTACATTTTTATTTTTTTTATTTATTTATTTTTTGTAAAAGCTCCCCTCAAATTAACAGAACATGTTTTATGATCACACATATTACTATATGCTTACAATTTACTGCTGAAAGCCAAAAATCTTAGACGCTCTTTGTATTATTTTATAAAAATAATTTTTACAGAGCAGATCACTGAAGAGATGCCATCTGTTTATAGTTTATAGCCCAGATTTATGGAAAAATGGGTCGACTTTCAGTAGACAAAAAATTGTGAGTTCAGCTTCTTTTATTATAAGGGTTTAAAATGACATCACCCATCTATTTGACTGGAAAGAAGACAGTTACAGCTCTTATATGACACCCACCTTTAGAATGTAGCTTATGAAATATGAAAGTTATGAAGAATATGACGAAGTGCGTTTTGGATCCACCGGTGGTCTCATAGCAGCCAGCAGATGATAAAATCTGATAAAACAAGCTACACAGCAAACACATGGGTTAGGTGAGTTAAGTCTGCTACCACAAGCTAAGCTATAACAGAATGTATTTCCACAACGGACAAAGATAAAAATCCCATAAATTTCTCTGCCTGCAGTGTAAAAATGAGAGATAAAAAGGTCTGCAGGTCTACTCAGCTTGAGCTTGATTAGCTAATTTACTGTATGTTCTTAATGAAATAACTGCACAGTCAGCGTTGTAAAAGCCATTAATAATCATTTTAGGTGAACAAAGATTTGGATGGTTCAGGAAAGCCTGACTACATTCAGATCTGGCAATCTGGCTGAACTGAAGACTTGATTGAGCGAATGGCAGATAGAAATGGTTGATAAGCAGAGATTTGAGGGCCAGGAAATGAGACGGGGCTTAAGAGCGGTCTGTCATTACAGTGGCAGTTAAATATGAACAAATCATTATGATGTGTTTGTTAAAATTCAGTTCACATCATTTTAGCACCTTGCTTGCGTTAAATTAGCAGTTATTAAGAGTGCAAAGAGGCACACGCTCCACCCCCTGCAAGACAAACCAGAAGTGGATGGAAGCACTGATTTAACCTTAAATACAGCTAAAATGCTGTGTGTGTGTGTTGTAGCCCTGTTTACTGCTGCTGCCTCACATCTAGCAGTCTCTCTGTCTTTGTACAACATGTCAGTGATTTCTGTTTTCAAAAGAAAGAAGACCTTTTATATGTAGTATGAATTTGGTAGACGTTATTTAGATGTAGCTAGCTACGCTAGAAGCCAGCTAACTGTAGCTGTATTCCCAAACAAGGAAGTTAGCTAGCTTTCATTAGTTGCCAACACCAGCTGGCTAATGTGGAGCAGGTTCTGTGACACAAGTACAGCATGCCAGCGACTTCTCTAAGGTTATAAAAGCAAACCAAACCTTTTATATGCACAGTCTATTCGATAGAGTAAGGGTCCAGTCTGCGCTGCTGGCTGCCAGCAGAGGGCGACAGCGGCAAGGTGCCCAGCCTGCACCATCGGCCGCCAGCAGAGGGCGACAGCGGCAAGGTGCCCAGCCTGCACCGCCGACCGCCAGCAGAGGGCAACGGCAGCGAAGTGCCATGACTTTAGGGAACTCCAATTCCCAGAAGCCCTCAGGCTGATTACCTGACACACCTGTGGACTCCTCTACTTAAGGCTGTGGCAAACAGCGGCCCTTTGTCATGCCTTTGTAGAGTGGTGACCGGTACGGTACGCAGCCCAGCCCAGCCCAGTCCAGGTGGGTATTTAAACAAAAAGGGGAAAAAAAAGAAAAGAGGGCTGGAAAAAACAAAAGAAAGTAATTACCCCAAAATTACTCCAAAAAAAAACGACACAAGAAGGCATGAGCTACAAACGGCTCCAAGCCATACAAAAGGTGTTTTTCTCTAAGGGCAAACAAGTGAAGCATAGATTCTGCCTTCCCGTCTTAATTACAGTAGAAGAGCCTTTGTTTCAGTAGATCTGAGGTTCGAGCCTGGCTCCGGGTCAACTCATCCCCAGTGTCCCACTACCTCAATCAATTTGTTTAACACCCTTTTTCACGGGTTTTCATCTTTGCACTTGGGTCCGCCTCTCTGCCGTCCCGTAACAGAGACTTTGTTTACGCTCTCTTCTAGCTTATGGTAGGGTAGCAGCCCACAGGCGCTAATTAGCTAGCCTACCATTAGCAGATTAAGGAACACCAGCTTCATATGAGTAGTAGACTTTAAGGCTAGCTGGCTAGCTGCGTCAGCAATCTGCCACACAGCATAATTCCTTTAGCTTCATGACAATGTTTGAAGAAGTACATCGGATAACATCCACCTTTCACTGCTCAATCAAAAACACGACTCCTAGATAACTTGTATCTTAGCATCGTGGTTATGCGGTGACAGTTTGATTTCCATTGTCTAGCTGTTCATACGAAGCTGATCATGTAAGAATTATTTCGTTAACGGTTTATTGCCTGCATTAGCTTTTTAAAGATGAGTACAAAATTCACTGGTGATGCAGAAAGCTGCTTTATGCTACCCGGGTACAGTAATAATCCAGAAGTTGTTAGGTGGTCCCCCAGGGGCCACGGGGCCCTAAGCAGCCACTTGCTTAATAGGCAGATCCAGCACTGGGCTGTACACTGGAATATTTCAACTATCACTCGCTGAAGAACCACAAGTCCAAATGGGTGGAGCCGGACCTGATCCAACTCCGCCCACATCTTTTCATTGGTCTAAAATCATCGCATTTCTATTGGTCTTTAAACTAGTATGTGTCGCTTACGTTTTCTGCCTACGACTTATTTCATTGGTCTCGCATTTTTATCTGTTGTTTTTATTTTCACGTTGTTGCTCCATCCTGAATGCCACAACACAGCCTTTATAATCGCTCCTGATTCACGACGTTCACACTCATTGGTCAAAACTCGAAAAGGTTTTTCACGTTCCGGTACAAAGTCTGTTCTGTAGCCCTACATCTCAAGGGTACTTATGATAGACAAGTTCTCGTTGAAAATGCTGAATGTTTTTAAACACTAGAATAGACATCTGACCCACTCGTACTTGATTACGTTTTACTTGAATCTGATGGCAAGTATAGCGGGGCGGGGTGGAGTCGGATCTAGTTCAGACCAATTAAAACACGACATGGGAGGAGTTGGATCAGATCCTACCGTACCCCCTGGACTTTTGGTTCTGCAGCGATGACAATCTCGATTATTTGCCCAGAGCAATACGTCATCCAGGTATCTTTCTCATACTGAAGCAATTCATGTTGATCACATACTACATGTTATTTACTACCTTTGGGCTCAGTCAGTATGAGAGCGGTGTGTAGAAGGTTTTGCAGAACAGAGTCGACATGCTGTAGTCAGCATCATAACCGTATTAGGATCTCCAGGTCTAAGCAGGTGATCTCTACAACAGAAATTAATGCCGTTTTGGCAAACTGCTGCGGTCGTGCCTTATGATAGACAGACATTTTTCTCTATGAACATATTTTTCCTCTGAAATTTCTGGATCTTCTAGATTACAAGGTTGTTAAGGAGCAGAAATTTGACTAAGCCAATACTGCCGTGCAATGAATTGACATCATAAGACTTACAGCCTCACCTAAATACACATTGGCAGCTTGACTAGCTGGTGTTGATTTATAATAGTGTTAAAGTTTAATAGTAGAATTACTTTTATGCAACATCATTTAAGCGCACATGATTGTTGCTTGTAGCATGTACAGCCGTATACAAACATGCCCCTAGTCAAATGCCATTAGTTGATTTGAAGCGAAAATAAGTGAAAGCATCCTCTACAGAGAACACACTTCTGCATACTAATGCACCATTACTGTTTTGTTTGCTGAACTTAACGTATTAAAGAATAAAATTAAAATAAAAAATGTGGTATTTTATATTTTCTGTTTTGTTTTTCCAAATATGTTAAACTTGGCTATACATTCTCATCTCTCATAATTTGTCAGCTTTAGATGATCTTAAGAGCAGGTGGGAAGAGGACTTGGACGGGCAAATTCCAGATGAGACTTGGCAGAAAATGATTCGAAGAATGTGCTCGTCTTCAATTTGTCAAAGGCATTTTGCTATACAATTCAAGGTAGTACATCGACTTCATTGGTGTAAAGTTAGACTGTCCAAAATTAGACCTGATTTGGACTCTACTTGCGATAGGTGACCCTGCAAGTTTACTACATATGTTTTGGACATGCCCAAGATTACATCACTTTTGGAAATCTATTTTTTATACTCTCTCTCTAAAATTCTGGAAGAACCAATAAGCTACTTTCCTTATATTGCATTATTCGGTGTTGCACCACCAGATACCCAAATAAATAATTATAAATGCAGCATATTGGCCTTTTGTGCTCTGCTGGCCAGGCGATTAATACTGCTTAGGTGGAAAGACCTTCTTCTCCCTAATTATTCTCAGTGGATCAAAGAGGTTAGAGAAGATGAGATGCTCTCTTCAAGGATCTGTACAGAGATTTTATAGGATTTGGCAGCCCTTCTTGACATATGTGGGTAAAATGGAAGCCGAAAATGTATCTCTATAATATGTATTTAGTTTTAAGTTACAATATTTCAGGTCTGTCTGTCTGCCCTGCGATGGACTGGCGACCTGTCCAGGGTGTATCCTGCCTTCCGCCCAATGACAGCTGGGATAGGCTCCAGCACCCCACCGCGACCCAGAAGGATAAGCGGTTTAGATGATGTGTGTGTGTGTATGTATGTATGTATGTATGTATGTATTTCAGTTCTTTATAAAAGCTGTAGAGAATCTATGCAGTTTCTATTATTGAGGTATGGAGGGTGGGTGGGCTGGGTGGGTTTGGGGGTATGGGACCGTTTGTATTTTGTATTTTGTGAAATCTTTAATAAAAAGACCTTTATTTAAAAAAAAAAACAAAAAAAAAACTTGGCTATACAAACTGTACACTTGATGAGACACAATGTCAGAGGTCTGACAATGTCAGACTGCATCTACAGTGAGACATGAGGAAATAAGGCTTTGTAGGTTCTGGAATAAAGCAATTATCTAAAACTATAACGCAGCATGATTTAATTTTGTCCTGAATGTTCATTTAGAGGGCTGGACAATTGATCAAGACTATTGGACAGCATGACTTTTTAACCCAAAGGAGGAAATTAAATGTTACTATAAATGTTAATCTCTTCAAAATATCAAGAACAGTTTCTTCTCCAGTTTAGAGCTTCATTTGAAACAATGAATTTAATTCCACAAGGAAACAGAATCGTAACAAAACCTTTTATTTGAATTGGTCGATCTCTTGTGTTACATAATAGTAAATGTAGTGGTTACATGTGTTTAGTTTAAATCTGCCACCGTATAACAACGTTCAGTCTTCAGCTTCATATTTCTGACGTTTATCTTCCACTCTTGAGTTTGCAGCTTGTTCGGCAGCTGCTGAAGTCCAGCAAAGTTCATAGCAGCTGCCATTTATCCACAGTTTTTCCTTGAAGGTCAACAAAGGTCAAACAACCCTATGCACCCTGTCGTCCAGAGGGAGGCGAGCACAATCCCCAAATGTAACATCTAGCACCAGAGTGGTCTGATATGACTAGCTCACTAGATAAGCTAGACCAAGTTCACTAGATACATTCCGTGTACCACAGATCAGCATCTGAAATATGAACACTGAAACAAATGTATTTTTTTGGTGGTGGTTATGCTTTTGTTTTTCTCACATGAGCTTATTGTCCCAGTCAGGAGGTGCTGCAGGTTTGGCAGGGCACGGCTGCTGCTCCCAACTGGGGCTTGGAGGAAGTGTCAAGTATGTTTGTTCTTTATTTCTTGAAGGTGATGGACTAATTCAAGTAGAGTATTAAATGCATATCATCAGTCATGAATGCTATCATTACCAGTAGGGATGCTTGTGAATGCCCATGAAATCACATGAAACACAGTCGTTGTAAATTATAAATATATGAAGCTGCAATAGCAATACTTAGAATAAATGCAGAAGAAAACAAAAACAACCAAGACTTTGTTGGTTAGGACTTAGTTAGTAAAATAGCATTCGACAAAAGACCCTGACACATTTTGGCAAAGCACTGAAGCAACTAATGCACGAATTACACCAATCAGGCATAACATTATGACCACCTCCTTGTTTCTATGCTCATTGTCCATTTTATCAGCTCCACTTACTATATAGGTGCACTTTGTAGTTCTACAGTTACAGACTGTAGTCCATCTGTTTCTCTGATACTTTGTTAGCTCCCTTTTACCCTGTTCTTCAGTGGTCAGGACCCCTATGGACCCTCACAGAACAGGTACTATTTGGGTGGTGGATCATTCTCAGCACTGCAGTAACACTGACATGGTGGTGGTGTGTTAGTGTGTGTTGCGCTGGTACGAGTGGATCAGACACAGCAGTGCTGCTGGAGGTTTTAAACACTCACTGTCCACTCTATTAGACACTCCTACCTTGTCAGTCCACCTTGTAGATGTAAAGTCAGAGACGATAGCTCATCTGCTGCTGCACAGTTTGTGTTGGTCATCCTCTAATCCTTCATCAGTGGTCACAGGACGCTGCCCACAGGACGCTGTTGGCTGGATATTTTTGGTTGGTGGACTATTCTCAGTCCAGCAGTGACACTGAGGTGTTTAAAAACTCCAGCAGCACTGATGTGTCTGATCCACTCAGACCAGCACAACACACACTAACACACCACCACGTCAGTGTTACTGCAGTGCTGAGAATGATCCACCACCCAAATAGTAAGGGTCCATGGGGGTCCTGACCACTACAAAGTATGCAGAGAAACAGATGGACTACAGTCTGTAACTGTAGAACTACAAAGTGCACCTATATAGTAAGTGGAGCTGATAAAATGGACAATGAGCGTAGAAACAAGGAGGTGGTCATAATGTTATGCCTGATTGGTGTACATTGAATCGCATTAGTGTTAGACACTGTCCAGAGAAGTGTGCAAGACATTTCTTTATGTTAGAAGGGTTACAGCACTACTGAATGTCCATGGTGAGCACACATGAGTTGGTGAACGCTACATTAATGCTAGGGTAAAGCAGCGGCGTTTAATGTGCTCAGAGACCCCTGACCGATCTGTCCAGAGATTTTCACTGTGTGGGCATGGGACATTGGAGGACGTAGCAAGTTTCAGGGAGAGTGCACGTATGTTTGTCCTTGTGACATTCCACGTGAACGTTTGCGTGTAGCAGTGAAAAAGGTCTATAGGAGGTCCGGCAGGTGGCTGTATACGGAGTCAAGGAGGGTCTGGCTGGCCTCTTGGCTCTTGACCCCTGCGATCTCAAACAGGCGGTCCAGCTTATCCTCGGCCATCGGGATCTCCTCGATGACATGCAGCTCCTCTGGGTTGAGGATATGCAGCATGTCGTCGAAGATGGGCTGCAGGTCGCACGGGTCCAGACGTACCTGCCGCAGCACTGTGTCCTTCTTCTCTGTTGGTAAATATAGGATAATGCAAAGTGATGCTGTGTGAGTTAAGGCATTTACATTTGTCTGCTTTTCAGAAAAGGTGTAGAGAATTTCATTCTGTGCAAATTTTCTAAATATCTGCAAATCATTAAGATGTATATGAAGACATTCAGTGGTTTGATGTGAAATGCTCCATTCTAGAGAAATTTAATCAGCATTGTTCACAGTGGTGGTGATAGGAACCAGACATCTGAAGAGTTAAACGCCTCTAAAAGCTACCTCACGAAAAGCTATTGCACAAAATGGTTCTGGATATGCTGCCACTTGCTTGAGACTTGAACTCATTTCCTACATTTTTCTCACGTTGTATTTCTTTCCCAGAGGTCCACTTATAACTTAGCATATGTTTATATGGTTTTATGTAGCTAAAAAAAAGTCAATATTCTATTTTACATGACTATTTTTTGCCTCTCTTAGAATTAAACAGGCTGTTTTTGTTACTGTGCCTTTAAGACTGATATCACTGCTGTCGGAACAAAACCTCGTATCTCCAAAATGGTAACTTTACAGGAGAAGGAAAAAACATGCTTCACTTTTAATGTAAGTCAATGGAACCAGATGTCTTTTCAAGTAATTTTGGGTCATTTTCTTTTGGTCCATTCATCATAAAAATGATGCACCCTGTAAAGGACAACAGGGAATTTCAAACTATGCCAAAAACTGAAAAATGACAAAAATGGAGATATAAGGTTTGTTCTGACAGCAGCGATATGCAAATGACCTCTGTTCTGATTGGCTGCTCTGTATCATGCCACTTTCAAAAAGCATTTGGGGCTGAAACATTCTGGCACAGCTAAAATGCTGTAGGCTAGATATGTAGATATAAGAAGTAAATGACTGAATTATGCAGAATTTTTGGAAAAATTAGCAGAATTCCCCACTAAAGCAATACTCCAGTGTTTTTAACCTATTATCTGCTGTATTTGCTACACCTGTAGCACACTATTGATTTCTATGGACATTCATTTCGACATGTTAGGTTGTACAGAAAATCAGCTGCAGCACATGACCAATAGCTTCTTTTTTCTTTGTCTTAAATATGTTTTGAGAAATAGACACATCTTTTTTAAGTACAGAGGAGTTACTGTCAGTATTAATAGACTGAATGCTATGGATGTTTCAGGCTAATGTTTATTCAATAGGGATACATCAGCATTGAAAATTACGCTACAAATGTCTGATACCAGATATCATAACCTATGTAGTGTAGCTATTTTTTATATTTGTCCCAATAACTAGACAGGGATTAGACTGAAAAACGGATTCCTTCAATGTTTGGTTTTAAAGAAAGGTCAAATATGATTCAAACATAACAAAATAATAAACAGACATTTGAACATCTGCTACTGACTTCGGCCCAATCCCATTTCACCCCTCGCCCCTACCACTCAGCCCTTTGCCCTCCGTTTTGAGCGTTCACGTCTAGGGGTAGGGTGTCCCAATTCTTGTTGAGATAAAGGGGTAAGGTGAAGTGTTGGGGCTACATGACCCTGCAAACAGAGGTTTTTCAGAGACTCCAAATGGAGTGTTATGAGAAAAAAAGAAAAACCGGCAAGACGGCTGAACAAGAGACCAAAGAAACCCAAAATTTAAGTATTTTCTCCATTAAAAATTACGATAACCACTGTATTATATTAGTTTAATGTCATATCAGTGTAATATGGTCGTTTTCTTCATAACAACCATAAAAAATCACTAGTAGTGCTGATGTCTCAGTAGCTAGCTAGCTAACTTTCCCATTCCACCTTAAATAGTCCAGCCGTTCTGACGCCTGAAGCACCAGAATGTAACTGCTGCACCATTTAAGGTGGAACGGGAAAATTCAAACAAGAAGCTGGTGAATATCTGACTTCAGCTTCGTATCACCAAAGAATTAGCAGTGGGTGATAATAAATAAATAATTATCTTATCCCCCTCTCTGAAGGCATATGATGCCCTAAATGTAACTAAAGCCCAGCAGTGAGGAGCTGAACTTTACCCTCCTCTGCTATCACTGAAGACGGGCCAGGTCTCCATTTCGTAGGGCAAGATTTCAACTACTAGGGTGACACTCGAAAACAAGTGGTAGGAGTAAACAGAAGAAATGGGATTGGGCCTTTGAGTCTGCTAAAAATGACACGGTGAACAGTGAAAATGTGTAGGAGCTCAAAGTCTCCAGAAGGAGGCAGCACACTCAAAGAATCTGAAGCTGTAGAACAGTGTTGTGTGTTGCTCTTCTCTAGCTCAGTTATGTGTTAGAGGAGGAGAAACACTAATGCTGTAAAGTTTGCAGTGCTGTGATCTTCTCATGACTAGAGCTGAAGAACTGTGAACCAAATTCTCTGCTACATGCTGGCATCAGAATAAACAGGGTGTCAGCCTGTCATTAGTAGCAACTGCAACAACGGCAGAGCATAACATGCTCATAACTGGACCACTGAGCCTTTGCATGTGCACAGTCCTCACTGCCGCTCTTACCTTTGGTAATAAAAGAACCTGTGCGGCTGAGGGCGGAGTCCTTGCTGGAGGTGGAGTCACAGCGCAGCAGCGGCTCGGATTCGTCGGTGAAGAAGCCCTTGCGGTCCTGCGGAGAGTGCTCCACTACCAAGCCAGGCGCCTCCGTAGGTTTATTATGGCTGGGGCTGACACACTGGCTTACATTCACTGAGGTCATCAGCTGGTTCAGGTCAAACTGCAGGGGCACAGAGGCAGGACTTTCTTAGTGGGTGGCGCTTAAATCTGCTCACTGAAATACTTTAATAGTTGCAGAATAATGGTCAGAAAAATCACAGGACTCAAGGGGAGAAAACTGTCATCATCAAAACATCACCAACTGGTAAACTCAGCAGGTTTAACACTGTATATACACTACAGCGTCTTGTCAGGGTACCAAGTGCAGTTAAACAAAACAATAGAACCCATCTGCCAAACACAAGGCCCGTGGGCCAAGACAGGCCCTATTTGGCCTGTGAAATTATTTTAATTTTCTATTCTTATTAGTGGGGCGGCACAGTGGCACAGTGGTGCAGTGTGTAGTGCTGTTGCCTCACAGCAAGAAGGGCCTGGGTTCAATTCCTGGCTGGCTGGCCAGGGTCATTTCTGTGTGGAGTTTGTCTGTTCTCCCCGTGTCTGCGTGGGTTTCCTCCGGGTACTCCGGTTTCCTCCCACAGTCCAAAGACATGCAGTCAGGCTGATTGGACATGCTAAAATTGCCCCCTAGAGTGTGTGTGATTTGTATATGTCTGTCTGCCCTGCGAAGGACTGGCGACCTGTCCAGGGTGTATCCTGCCTTCCGCCCAATGACAGCTGGGATAGGCTCCAGCACCCCACCGCAACCCAGAAGGATAAGCGGTTTAGATGATGGATGGATGGATGGATGGATGGATATTAGCCCATTTCACCCTGCAATGCACTACAGTCCCCAGCATGCACTGCAACATAGTGTGACCCCCAACAACAATCTCTGGATCAGCGGTTACACAAAAAGAAAAGATGCCTGGTGTCTAGTTAAAAAAAAAATACATAAAAAATGTATTTTTATTTAGAATTACTTTTGAATATGTTTTCAATGCCTATTTTTGATGTTGCAGTTTTGGCATATTTTGAATAAACAGCGGCAAAATGTGAAGTAAAAATGTAATAAAAACACAGCCGGCTCACAGATTTGCTGGGATTTTTTAATATGGCTTTTTTAGTGGTTGAGTTTGACAACCCTGCATTAGAACAAGTATAAATAACATTTACGCAATCAGTAATGACTTTATGTTTATAACATTTTCGTTTAATCGTTTCTAAAGTTCTCCTGGAGGAAGCCCAGCATGTATAATTACAATACCTGCCTCAGCCAATCAATCCTTCATTGAGTGAAATCAGGAGCTCCTGATGGAATTGAACTAATCCATAAAATGGATCTTTTTGAATCCAAAGACTTAAATAGGCCATATTAACATATCATGAAAAAAATAATTCATAAAATTTTACATCTTCAAAAGTTTTGGCACGTATTTTATTTTGTTGTATTTATTTTCTAAGCTGTTAAACTCAATAAATAAATAGAAATCGTGCACTTAATTTTGCAGAAATATACCACTGCCTGTGTTGATGTATTTGCAATTAGAAAATCAACAAAACCAGGGGTGCCAAAACATTTGCACAAGACTGAACACATTTTGACATCATTCATTTGCCGAATGCTCAAAGTACTGCTTACTGAATGGCCCTGCATACTTACTGAAGACAGGCTTAACGTTACAATAACACATGCACATAGCATGTACAGTCATATGCAAAAATTTGTGCGCCCCTGCTCTAATGGCATTCAGTTGATTTTCTAAGTGAAAATAAGTTACACATCCTCTACAGAGAACACACTGCTGCACGTTTTACTGCTCCATTGCTGTTTATTCACTGAATGTAACACATTGGAAAAAAAAACATTAAACGTGGGCTGTGCAAAAGTTAAGGCACATTTTATATTTTAATATGTTAACTCGGAAAATACAGAGAAATTGTGCGCTTGATGACGAGCGGCGATACAGAAATGGATATTTTATTTTTTAATTCAATTTTTAGTTAACCACTTGCCTTTGTTTGCCAGCGCGGTCTACTGTGTTTACATGGTTTCAGAGAATGTACTGGGTGAGTTACGCTGTGGCTTGTAAACTTGCGTAACATGGTATTTGCCTGGGTTTATGACCTGCCATTCAAGCGCAACTTCCTCGTGGTAAACCACTCAGACTATCCGAAAGCAGAGAGCTTATTGCTTATTATAGTGTTCCAGTGTTCTATTCCTGTCATGCTTCATCAAACTGTGAATACATTTCTCCCAGCCAGCCCATGCTTACTTGGTGTGGACTAACAGGTTAATCACTGGTTACTGCAGGATGTGAGTCGTGGCTGAGAAGGGGTTAAACAGAGCAGATGAAGAGAGGAGGTCAAGAATGAGAGTCAGTGCTTAGTAACACTAGTGTTGTTCAGCATGAAGCAGGAATGACGAGAGATGGGACATCACGTCCACTGTGGACTTAGCACGAAGGACTCCACCGACGCAGCCGTCCCCGTGCGTCAAAGGAGGCTTGTGCAATAGAGGCAGATGAAAGCGATTGTGTCCACTCTCATAGCCTTGGAATTCACTGCCCACAGGCTACATGGCCCCAGTCACACTGCTAAGGACGCAAGCATTGCCCACGGCATGAGGAGGGTCTCGCTGCAGACCCGTAATACAGCATTTTCAGCCCCGCAGTCTCAGCTCCGGATATGATGTCACATTAAGGTCTGTTACTGCAGGTAAGGTGATAGTGAGGGTCTGAAAGTGCGGTACTGGGGGTCTGCAGCTGGGTACTACTACACGACATGGGGAAGACTGCGTTCTGTTAGCATGACGCTGTCTGAGACAACCGGTGACACAGACTGATGAACGTCTGTCATTGGACAAGATTTCCAAACTGCTCACTCTGGGCCAATCGCCATCCAAAAACAACCAGCGCTATATGAAAACAAATATCATCTGCCACCGTTACCAATTTTATGAAGCCTACAGTCTCAGAAATAACGGTACTAAACTGTCTCTGAGTCAGTTCCCCTCTTGTCACTGGAGTGGAACCCTCAAGGGTTCATCTCAGTACCTTAACTCAGGGAACATAACTGTACCATAATCCATAGAAATGATATGTTCTAAGCTGTACTGACTCCACACACCCCGTCTCGTCTCCAGGCTTTTATTTTACTGTTCTGTTTAAAACATTCGGTTATGAAAAACTTATTTAAGGTTCACAATCAGACCTTAAAACCACTGTTGTACCTTTGAGGGAACATTTACATTGTTTGTACCTTGATGAAGGAAAAATGTACCTTTATTTCTAACAGTGTGTGCCAAAAGGCCATACCTGTCTACTTAAAAATCAAGGTGCCACAAAGGGTTTTTGGAGCAAAAGTACCTTTAAATGAATGGTTCTGTAAAGAAATGCACCTTTTTAGATTTTAAAGAACCTCCACATGATGCAGAGGTTCTATAGCAATTGTAGTTTTTTTTTCCTTGAACTGTACATCCACTGTAAACCTCCCTGCTCCAATGCACCTGATTCCACCTATCAGCTAAGTAACAATCCCCTCCTGAGCTGAACTGGATATTTAGAGCAGGAAAACACTTACCCTGTATCTCAAACCGAGTACTTCCATACTGTACTAGCCACTTTTAGTACGTAGTGCGTTCACACTGTGAAACTACTGTTTTTCTGCAGCTAAATATTTACATCTAATGGGAAGATTTGCTTTACCTTCTTGAACATAAGCTATATAAAGTCAGTTTAGGCTTTTGCTTACAATGTTAAAAGCAAAAACAGAGCACTGCATGCAAGAGGAACCACTCAGAGGAAAGTCTGATGCAGCATAAATGCTGCACATTATGCAGGCATGGCTATAATTTAGCTGTAACTAATGTAGCTACTATTCTAATTTGGACTGACAGTGAGTTAAATCTGCCTTTGTGGACTCATTCAGGTCAGAGTGGTAGATACATCATGTCAAAATTAAGAAATTAATAGAACTATCAAACATATCCACCGAGAGCGCAGACGTAACTGCTCATTTTGTCAACATTTCACTTGTAAAATCTTTACTTATGTTCAGCAGAAACGCCACTGCTGTCATAATAAGAGTCCCGTATAATTATACTGTTAAAAGTTTGCTTGATTTGGCAGAACTTTCAAGACTCCTGGTGTAAATCATGGAAAATTAGCAAAGTAAAACTAACTTTACAATCAAAAGTAACTTTACAATCACTGGACTCTTTTTATGTTATTTGTATATCAATTGAGTATTTGTATTTTATGCATTTTGTATATATTGTGGTTGTCAGAACCAAACTTCACATCTAAATTTTTTACGTTTTTCAGTTTTTGACATAATTTGAAAATGTCTGCTGCCCTTTATATTGTATGTAAATTTCATGATGAACAGACCTCAAGAAACGGCCCAAAATGACTTGGAAAAAATTCTGGTTCCATTGACTTACATTAAAAGTAAAGTGTGTTTTTTCCTTCTCCTGTAAAGTTCTCATTTTGGAGATACAAGGTTTTGTTCAGACAACATCAATATGTTTACTGGAGTTTATGTTCACATTTGCATCAACAGAGAATCTTTCTCCATCTTGTACTTGTTGAAAAAGAGATTCTGATTCAGAGAAAATATTATTATCATCTTACTGAGGATGTCAGAGACCTCATAGCTGAATCAATAAAACATGAACAAAGAGGTCAAGCAACCATAAGATGTTAAAACACAGAATATTCTTGTTTGGCAACCCAGCTGTTTACAGAATGAACGTCACTGATGGCGCAAAAGATTAAGGAAAATATTTTTTCCTTCATCCGCAAAGAATGAGCACTGAGGGCTGAGTCACGTGACATCACTAAATGGCGTCAGTCCTCGCGGAGCCCACATGCATGTCAAAACAAATAGACCTTAATGGCCTTTGAGTGGTGAACATTTAATAGAGACATAAATCTAATTTGGTGCACAACAGACAGATCATGTGTTGCTGAAGCACTCAGGGCTCTGTGGTGAAGTGTCTGTAGTGTCTTCTGGAATGCATGGCTGGAGGGCCGAGGAGGCGCTAGTCATTAACAGAGGACTTGTCTGCAAAACCCAACAAAAAAAAATAAATGAGCGTTTGTGAATTAACGCATCTTCACA